GATCCAAGAATTCCTCCTGCAGATCCTCTGGAACACTATTAACATCTGTTGTAAATGGATTCCTGATGAAAGATAATCCATCCCTTGTCCTGTCCACCTCCGGAAAGTATCGTTGGAATTCGTCTCGTAGCTTCCGTAAGTGTTCGAGAATTTGCATCTGAATGGTTTCCTTTTCCCCAAGCATGGCATCCGCATATGGAAATTGAACCAAATTATTGCTTTCGACGCTTACGATCCAGAATTCCAATTTGTCAAGAAAAGCCTTGATGATGCTTTGGTGAGAGAACAGGTTTGCACCTTTCCCTTGCAGCTGAAGATTCTGTTTGTTCAAGATTCCAAAAATATCGACAAGATACGCAAGTTCTAAATTTGACTGCATCAGCACATTTCAGAATTCCTCTTGCCCTTGAGCCTGGAGAAATAAATCCTCCTCCTCCTCTCTCGATTGAAAAACTCTGAGTACATTCCCTGCTGACAATCACCGTCCAGGCAAAACCTTTTGAACAGCCTGGTGTTCCGAGCCGATGATTTGATGTCATTCACCACTTTCACCAACCCTTTTAAAATGACGTTAAGTTGATCAGGCCATGTTTTTGACGCCAAAGCTTCCCTATGAATGAAGCAATGAGCTCTGGTTACCATCTGAGCACGCTGTTTCACTAGCATTTGGAAGCCTGATCTTGAGCCCAGCATGGCAGGTGTACCATTAGTGGTGACACCCACAAGATTTACCCAATCCAGACCATGTACTTGAAATAAATTAACAATTTCCATCACATCCTGAGCCTTTGTAGTGGTATCAAGAGTCTTACAAAAAAGAAACTTGTCTTTGAAGTCTCCCTCAATCATGTATTGTGCGAACACCGATAGCTGAGAGCACAATGTGACGTCAGTCGATTCATCCAATTGTATGGCAAACAATGGAGACTTCTTTATTTCATCCACAACTTGTTCACTGATGTTCTGTGATATCTCATTTATCTGTCTCAATACTGTGTCATTAGAGACAGATATATCATTCAGCTTCCTTGCTACTTCCTCGACAAGAACAAGCCATGCCATCTCTTTTGCACAGGGGAGCACAAGTTGCTCTACAATGGTATGAAGCTTCTTGGCTTGTGTAACTTTGTATGCAACAATGCAGGAAGCGTGCACTGCATTGCTTTTCTTATTGTAGAATGCACTTGTTGAGTCGAGGCGCTGCTGTTTCAGACCTGATAACTGCCTCTCGGAATAATCTTTATCCTTTTGCAACAAGTTGGGGTGACACTTTTCGAGATGGAGTTTCAGCTTAGCCGGCATCATTGAGTCATTCCCCAAGACTTTGAAACAAATAACACATTGTGGCAAATCCACAACTTCTTTTTCTTGACCAGTGAAGCCGAATTTGATGTAGTCCTCCGAATACGTGCGCCTGATATTTCTTCCTGTTGTTGCCATTATAAACAAACTACACCACACCTGTAAAATAGCACATGTAGCACAGGATGAACGACACAGCAACCGCTCAGCATGATGGCGGCAGCTACACTGATGTTCAGAGCCTCAGACAGAAGTTACGGGCAACACAACGTGGTTGCGTCCTAAGTGACGCTATGGATGACGTGCCATGTGCTTGTGAACATGGCGTAAAACAGTCTAATGGCAGTGCCTGCTCACGCCATGTGACTTTGGACAATGTTCCTGCGGACCACAGAAAAAATCACCATGGACCACCAGTTGAGAACCACAGGATAATGCTTGATCCTTCCAGGAATGCAGGGGGCTGGACTAGATGACCTATCAAGATCCCTTCCAGTCCTATGATTAATCATGTTTTAGGACATGAAATGGTACATCTTTTCTTACTGTCCCTAATAAACTCTAGTATATCGTACAGCACAATATGGAAGTCATTCTTTATAAAGAATTGCTTTTAACTATAACTGAAATAGGGCTGTTGAAAACATTTCTCTTTCATTCGTATTCTCATCTATTAAAGAAGTTACCATATTTAATTTAAATTCCTACTAATTAGTTTTACATTTTCATTTGTAGCATCTTAATTTTTATCTTGTATGTTGTTGTGTAAAAGATGTTGTAACAGGAGAACTTGCTTTTTGTACTTAATCAGCACCACTTACGTTGCTTGGTTCAGCAATCTGAAAACTCAGAAGACAGAATCTTTTTTAATGTGTCAACTTTTATTGCAAACAATCTTAATTTGAGTGCTCATTCTTGCAGTTAATTGACGTGTCACCTGGAAAATACTAGGAAACAGAACCGGTTTTCTTTCCACTTTGAAACTGACTAGTCAGAAGCGAAATATAATGTATAAAGTAACAAAAGAAATAATTTGAACCTAACTGGAATACTTTTATTTAATATTTTTAAACAGCAACATTAAGGGACAAGATGACCTTGAATTACATTTAAATCTGAATGTTTTACCTATAAGAAACACCCAAGATTAATATAGCTGAAGGAAATTTAGTTTTTTCAGTGTTCCTTTCTGCATTTATAGACCTTTACATGTAGTCAATTGCACTGACTATTGCTCACTGAACTGTTTGAGGAAAGCTCTCATGCATGGATTTTTCTAGGCTCTGAAAGAGGGTATTTACAAGTAATTACAGCAGAAGAGGTCCCAGAGACATCTCTTCTCTCTGGGCCCTTGCAAATGGTTGTTGAGTGGAGAAAGAGAAACTGAGGCTCACTGTTGCTTCTACATCTCAGCCTACTGTGTGTGGGGAAGCAAGTGGAGTGGGAAGATGAGGGTGATCCTGTTACCTGCCCAGATTTCTGTACAGTTCATGATAACAGGAAACTACTAATGGGGGTATTTGTAAGGCTGCTGAAGAAACACCTCATACTTTCTCTGGACCTCTGCTCGGAGCCAGCAAATGGGGAGGAGTATGTTCGCTAGAGTCCTTTCTGTCCCCAAACCTCTGCCTGGGAAGCTCCCTTAATTCAGACCCGTATATAGCTTAGGGATGTCAAGGACTAGTTGACTATCTGATAAGCCAGTGCTTATCAGATAGAAACCGCAAGGTGTGGGGGAAGTGACTAGTTGACTAGCCTGTTGACTATCAGAAAGAGGCAGCAACTGGGGTGTGTGACGGGTCGCCTCAGTGCCTTGCACTTCGGCTGTGCTGGCCCTGGCATTCTGGGGCGAGAAGGCACCATGGCTTCTTGCGCGGCTCTGCGGCGTCTGATCTGTGGCTGCCGACAACCTCCAGGGCCAGAATATAGCCTGGAGGAAGGGAGGAGGTGGGGCCGGAAGAAGTGGCTTAACTGACCAATTGTTGCAAAATGTATAATCCACATTGGAAGTGGATTAAGTTAACTGTGGAGCTGGGTTAGTGTGGAGTAAAGTTTGAATAGGTTCATTTGTATTTGACTGTTACTTGATGTTCCAACTACTAACCAACCCAGCATAATTTCATGCCAGGACTAACTTTCCTGTTTCCTTGTGTGCCCTCTACTGTTCTGGAGTAACCTTGACTGGATGTGACCACCAGCATTTAAATGGAGGAGGCATGTAGCCAAGATCATCTCCATGTGTAATTGCAAACTCCTGGTATTGCATATCACATCTAACATTTGTTAAAGTAACCATGCCTCATGTACAGCTGTCTGGAGTCATGCAGGTTTACAGGATTTCCTGACCATTTGGGTAAAAGGGAATGCATCTCACCTTAGTCAATGACAGCCATCATAATAAGCATCTCTGGAACATCGTCAATACTATTCCAAAGCAAGGAGCTCTGTTGGCTAACTAAAGTAAGGCAATGAAGTAGTCTCAGTGTTGCTGGAAATTTTATTAGTGTCTTAGTTTTAAAACTAACAAAACATGTAGATGGTATCATGAGCTTTCGTGGGCACAGCCCACTTCTTCAGATGACCAGAGTGTTGGATGTCCAGAGGATACTCTGGTCATCTGAAGAAGTGGGCTGTGCCCACGAAAGCTCATGATACCATCTACATGTTTTGTTAGTTTTAAAACTAAGACACTAATAAAATTTCCAGCAACACTGAGACTACTTCAAGGAGTTAGCAAGCATATTTCCTAGAAGGCCATAATTGGAAGCTCAGACTGTCTACGCTACAATGATCTATTGGAAAAAGGTATGCAAATTGCGCTCCACAAAAAAACCCCATAGTGTAGACACAGCCTCAGTTTCTTATGGACAACACTGAAGGTAGTGAGGCTGTAGACCCTAAAATCATACACCTCTTGGAGGAAGAAGAACTCTCCCCTGAAAGCCAGGGTCCCTCGCAGGAGTCTGAAGCAGATTAAGAGGCTCATGCAGTCATTGTAAGTCCGATGGCCACCCAACATGATAGTTCTGTGGAGCAGCGCTCTGCAAATAAGTGTTACGTTAAACAGACTAAACAGATGGAGAAGGGGGTCTGAATGAACTGTCATCTGGGTGACCAATCTAATATAGGACCTTTTTCAATTCCTTACTCCTCCACATTTGGTCAGAATGTTATCTATGCCAGGGAAGTTCAGAAATATGTCTGAGCCAAACTTATATTACATTTTATTTCAGACATTTTACTGGTCCGGTATTTTCTGGGGGTTTACCACCTGATAGAAGCCACAAATACTGGATTGTCGGGGCCAGTACCGGACACCTGGCAACCCTAGTCATAACTAGCGCCTGCATTTACAATAGGCCAAGGACGTAAGTTGGGGGATTTTGGCCTCTTCCCCACTTCGGAAAAGGTCATAATGGTGGTGGCAGGGGGAGGATCGTAAAGCGGGCTGTTATAAAGCAGGGGCCTCCTGTATTTGTGGCAGGGGTGGGAAACCTCTCTTGGGTTAGGGGACACTGATCCTACAGAAAAATCAGCTGGGGACCACACAAACGGGCTGGGGACCAGCAGGCCTGGAGCGGATCTGTCCAGGGGTTTGGACTGTGCCCCAAGGCAGGGGATTGGGGTGCAGGGTCTGGGAGGAGGGTTATGTGGGTAAAGATATGGGAGTGGGAGTGGCTGGGGGGCCAGACACTTACCTAAAAGTGCTGCTCGCCCATTTCTCCCACAGGAGCTACCTGGCCATGTGCTCAGGGATTAAAAGCCTGAGGGGAGCGGTGATTGGTGGGTTCCCGCAGCACCATGTTTCTCAACCTCATCAGATTCATGGACTCTTACTTGAAGTAGAATTTTCTTGACATTTGTAAACATAATACATTTTTTTTTAACTCTGTGTATCTGTGATACCAATGTAGGCTTATATAATTTGTTTCAAGAGGTTGACAGGGAATACTTAAACTTGCAAGATAAGGATGTGCAAAGAGTGAGATTTTCTTTTATGTAGTGTAATATATTTTCAGCACTTGCGGTGCTGCTGGCAACGCCACTATTGATGCCCTTTCTGACTTGACTGATGGTCATGATCCAACACTTGAGAAATGCTGCTTCAGCAGTTTCTCTTGTCAAGTTATTCTACTGTAAAATTGATTTAATCATTAGGATGCCTTTCTGAATGTTATCCAATTGGAAATATTTTTGACTTTCAGGAATTATATTGAGTCCCTTTAAGGCAGAGGAATATTGAGAGCCAACTGTATTCAGAACAATGCAATTCTAGTAGATTTATACTGGATTGCATTTGTTTGAAAAAGGGATTGTATACATTAGAAAAGTTGGCAAATGTGAAAACTTTATTTTTTCAGACCCTTTTATCCCTTCCTGTTGGAGGGTGTTAAGTGCTTCATGAGATTTTTCCCTGAAATGAAGCTTCTTTCCTTTTCAATAGAACATGTTTCTTTGACAGCATAATGCTGATGTTGCAAGTCAATTTTTAGTCAACTCTTTTTTCATAGAGGTTTGCATAGTTGAAATGTAAACATGGACCAGTGAAGTATGGACTCTTTCTTATGGAAATAATTGATTAGCTTGCTCATCCTTTTTCCTCTTCTCACAAATATTGGCCCTAGCATAGGTGTGAGAGGTTTAGAGGAAGGGTAGTATGCACATGCAGTCTTCTACACACTCTGGATACAGGGGCCAGTAACAATAGTCATTTCCCTGCTCAGGGGAGTAGAGACACTGGTTCCTCTCTGGACCCCCAATGGTACAAATTTATCTAGAAGACAGGCCTTGATGCAATCTCCATCTCTGTCCCCCTCCCTCCAGTCCTATAACACTCACCCCAGCACAGAGCCAGAAAGTGTGCTTGGCAGGCTACATTATCCTGGGGGCTTGCTTGACAGGCTTGTACACTCGCATATGGTCTAGGGAGAAGATTATACTTTGGGTGAGTGTAAACGCAATTCCTCAAGCTTGTCCTGGGGCAGTAAAGCTGTACAGCTGCCTCCTCCTTTGAGTTATGACTAAATTATCTGTTTTTTTTACCAGAACGCCCAGTTGAAAAGGTACCTGGCAGTTACTGTCAGCACTGCTAACTGGAGTGGTTCCCTATAAGGTGTGCCCCTGCATGGCCACACACAAAGAATACTAGCCCTGCCCAACCTCCTTTGCAGAGCCACACAGCAACACTCACC